AAGTTGTTAAAAATAGGATTGGTAGAGAAAACAGACACTAAGGTCTAAGGAATTCAGGATATTAACTTTTTTCACAGAAGTGAAGTGTCCAGAAAAAAAATTTCAGGAAGACGGCAAATTTTTGCTGCTCTTCAAATGGCCCATGTGTCCATATGATTGAATGAATTGAACATTATATACAGGCAACATGCACAGCACCTTTTTAATGTTTTATATGTTTTCCAAACTCCCACCCAAAAGATGAAAAAGGGAACAGATGGAAGTAAATGTAGAAGTGCTTGATCACTTTAAAGAATTGCAAAAATTTCTTGGTGATGTGCTAAATCAAAAATTCTTTTTCAAGTCATGCAAGAAGCTCAAATGCAAAACAGAGAAAATGTGTTTCATTTAGCTGTCTCTTTTATACCATACAGATGTAAGAGTATATTATTTGATTAAATTGTTTTCCAAATGATGGGCAACAACGGGTCTGCTGCTGTTCTACATTATAATTTGAAAATTAAGTAGATTTCCTCTCCATGTTTTGGCAGTCAGACATGTTTCATCACTTTAAGTGTGTACCTTTCCCTATTGCCACATTTACTCTGTCACCTTTTTAACATCTTTTAAATTAAATTCACATCAGAGAGTAGCTCCAGCAGAACAAAAGCTGGCAACACTTCCTGTTTTCAATTGAAATTTTAGGAAGCTGCTTCAAGTTTTTAAATGCTTTCCCTCAATAATAGTTGATTCTCTATAGGCCAGTAGACTGCATCTGGCATCTCTAGAATAGAATTTTTGTTCAAATTCTTCAATCAGTTTAACAAGATTTAATTAGAAGGGGTGTTTGAAAAAAGAAGCTGCGTAAAAATTATTGAAAATTGGGGTATTTATTGTTAGAAGCGTGTCTTGCATACTGTCGCCTGAGACCACACAATGGGTCAGAGTGTGCTATCAAGAAGGCGCTGCCAGTGCAATGGTAGATCACTTACAAAGGAACGAATAATAATACCAGTACCTCTTTGTACATTGATTGTTCAATGAATCTATAATGGACTTCATCCTACCATTTTAGCTTCATCAAAAAAGGAGATATAAAAATGTTGCCAAACTCTGTTTATTTGAGGTACAAAATGAAATTTTTAAGGGAAAGGGTAAATTAGGGTTGTAAAAATTGAGAAAAAGGGTGTCAAACATAATGAATGACAATTTTCAGGGGCTTTGTGCAAAATCCAATCTGCAATCTCTTGTCAATGGAATACAGATTTGTGAGGAAAGTAGACAGATTTTTGTTGATTTAGGTGTTAATATGGTGTGCAGATGGTCAGTATCATGACCCTTAGTGTCCTGGGTGACCAGTGGTCATTTTCAGGGTGCAAGCCCAGACAGGAAGTTCTATTGCAGTAGCCATCTCTCATAGAGTCATTGTGACAGTTCATTAACAAAAATCAGCTTAATTTTCTCCAGATAATGGGCTGTATAAATGTTAATGTTCTGGTCAAGTACCTTCATTAAAAGTTTTTTCTCCTCCTAGGGGTTTCTCTTTTGGATGATGTACTTTTGAAGGAGCTTTGGGGATTTGTTAATTTGGCATTGCAATGTTATATGCCTAAAAAAAGTTAAGAGATTAAAATTTGGTTCATGGCTATTTGGGCACATTGTTTTGGGATGCCTAAGTTTTAGGAGAAAGTCATGATTAATGAAAAGGGGTTATATTCAGTCACACCATTGAAATGAGAACCCTCATTTAAGAGATGCATAGGGCATTCAGATATTCATGAATACTCAGTGAAGTTTATTAATTCTGATGCACAAATCCATTGAAATTCATTGATCTTAGTGCCCACAGCATGCAGTGCGTGAAATTTAATGCAAACTGTATAGAAAGAATGTATTGTCTTATTTATTTTCATTAACTTTACATTGCTGTATTTTTGAGAATTGGCACATGTAGGAAGGGTGAAATGGAAAAAGGTCCAACTAGCCAAGGAGCACTAATTTCTTCATCTTTTTTTTTATATTGTAAGATAAATTTGTCATTTTGAATTGAAAATAAATTGCAAAAAAAGTGTCTCAAACACAAGATCCATGAAAACAGAAGATTAGGAGGCAATAAATTGTAAGAGATACATGTATTGTTTCCACCTGTGAGGTACTTGGGTTTTTTTTGCTCATTTTTTCTGCTTCTCACACCTCCAGAAATTTGAAGAGGTAATTTGAGCAGTTGATTATTAGGAGTGACGTAGCAGACGTTACAAAAGATTACAGATGCTTCCTCAGCTGTCCTGTCATTAGTGCAACCTTTTGATGTCGACATAGAACAATAAAGACTATTCTTTTAGTGTTTTTCTTCTTTATGATGTTGAAATGCTATACTTATGTAAAAAATATAATCTCTGGGGAAAGTGTGATCCTTAGGTTGTGGATAAAAAATAGGAAGGATGGAGAAATTAAGTGAAGGACTAGAGGTATATACATTGATGTGTGTGCAATGGTTAATTGTCACATCTGGCTGTAAATAATATTGTTTGTTGTTTGATGATCTTATGGATATTTGTGAGCAATAAATAGTCCGAGCTGACAGAAAGTTGAGCAATCTGTCATGTTTTTAGCATCTTGGTTTGGCAGAATGTCATCCAGAGGTGTTGGAAATGGAGGGGTGGATCAAAGAAACAGAAAAGGGACTGTCACCTTGTTTCTTTATTGTTCATTAGCTGATGTATATGAAAGACATCCATGTAATATAGTTAAGAAATGGGCAAAACATGAAACTAAACTCAAGATTATTGTGTTGTATCTTTTTTTCAGATAAAAATTTCAAATATATTGAGAAATATTGTCAAGGAATCTTGCAATCTGGTCCAAAGCAATATTTTACAAGTAAATGTTAAAATGATTTTGAATTGTCAGAATATATATTTATTATATCTGAAAAATCTTAATTTGATAAATTCCCTGGAAAACTTTACACTGTTAAACATTTTAAAATTGAAATTATAATACATAATTTTTTTTTTTTAATCCTCAAAAAATGTTCACCCTACATAGACTCTACACATTACATTGACAAAGTCTGCACCCTCACTAACTCCTGTACATATAGAATATATAGATTTCTGAATAAAGAGAGAAATATCTATGAAACACTACTATAAACATGCCTATCCAGAATTCATATTTTTGACAAATGTTTATGGCTTTTTTATCCAGCAGAGGGCTAATAGAGGAATCAAGGCTCCAGCAGGGGTGTTTGAATTACCAATAGTCTTTATGAGTCAAGGGAATAGTTAGTACTGGCTCAACCTGCAATTTGAAACTAATGACCATAAAACCTTATCATGAATATTAATCTGTAAAAATCGGCTTTCTTGCATAAGATTTCTTATGGATAAGTTTTGTTTGCCATTCTTCATCCAACTTAATTCAGTTGAAGAGGAGTGCCTTTTATGGAAGATATAAAATTTCCCCGTAAATAAGAAAGAATTTTTAAAGTTGACAAGAAGACCCAAGGAGATCTCTTCTGGTAAAATGGAAAACTTTGTTCTCCCTCTTTGAATTTTATTTCCCTGCAGTGAGAAAATGTTCAATTTAGTATGGCCATAAATTATGAGCATGACTTTTTATTAAAGGGAGATAATCTATGAATCGTGTGCAGGGGTTAAATCTAAGACACAAAGACCTGTAACAGAACACGATTGACTCATAATTTTAATCCATTATAAGAGTAAACAAGTTTACAAAGACTGATTTGCAGGGTATGTTGGCATTATAACGACAGTGTTTGTTCTTTGGTCAAATGATCCCCAATTCCACATAGCCCTCCCGCAGGCGTTAAACTTTTTCACTCCCATCAATGTCATGGCTAAAACAAGATTTTGAGGGCACGTACAGGTAATATACCTGTAATCAGAAAAATATTCCCCTTCTCGTGGGGAGTGTAATGGCATTTCCATTGAGAATTGACAAAATTGTCTATAAGGAGACTGAAAGATGATACCGCTTGAAATTAAATCTCGATTGAAAGATGATTGAACTGTTTATCTTATTGATTAATGGGGCATACATCTGATTTATAAGCTCTTATTGACTGGATTTGGGATGTTTGAAGAGGGCCTTTGATAGAAGATGGTATATCCTTTATATGATAAGAGATTAAAATCAGACACTTCACTTTTTACATAAGCATCTTTCTTCAAGTTAATATTCTTATGAGAGAAGAGGAGAATATAATATTAACTTGGAAAATGACAGTAATACCTAGTAGATAGTCGAGCTTTCACATATATAACTTGAAGATTTTCATTGTTTTTCATCACCAATGCTTTTGATCATTTTCACATTCTGCTCCAAAAGATGTATTTAGTTTCCTACTACATATGTTACATTCATCAAACTATTGGCTATTCCAGTCACATTTTACATATGAAATAAGAATACTTCTGAAAAACATTAATACATTAGGTTTTAATGACTTTTTGTATAGAATTCATTATACCCTTTCATTTGACATTTTAATGATGATGCCTTGTGTTTGCAGTGAATATCAATGCAATATAATTATTCTGTTTCTTCATCCCATTTGACCACTTTCAATATTCATGAACTATTTCATTTTATATGTCCATTTTAGGTTTCTCTGGAGGCAGTTGGAATCTTATTGGAAAACAATTCTAGGCTCTTTTGGGGCCTATGAATGTTGTCCAGGCTATCAGTTGACCACTGACTAAGTTATAAACATTCTGATGGTTTTATTAGCAACAAAGTATCTTAGTGTTATTGGCCTGTGATGTCTGTGACAGATATTATGACCAATTGTTGTCAAATTTGGCAGCAATATAACCCTGTCTGCTTTTGTCTAGCTTGTTCTTAATAGTGAAAATAAAGTCCTTTTTGTGGGTGTATGAGAGAATTCTGACTCCATACTAATGCTTTTCTTTCTGTTAAATGTTGTCATATTTCATTTTTACTCTATCAGTGACTTTATTGAAATGATTATGGTTTTGTGTTACCCATTTTGTTACCTTTTACATAGCCATGCAAAGACATTCATTTTAATGTAATTTCCTATTTCTCTCTCAAGGGCATTGCATTAGTAAAATGTATTTTTTCTGCCAAAATGCAATTTGAAGTGTTTCCTCAAGTGAGAAGGTAACAGTATTTGGAAGAATAATTTCAGGTGGCTAACCTAGGGGTCAATCTAATATCTTGTCATACAAAAAAACCTCAAACTTTTTTAGCATCTGAAGATTGCTGAAAGATTGGAAAATTGATAGATTTTCAGAGAGGTTGTTTACATTGCCTAAAGTATAGATTATGTCACTCAGGCCAAACTAAAATAACATCTTCAATCTGATGAAAAATTTACCTAAATGTAAATCCTTAATTCTGCTAGAGAAAAAGAGAAAACACTTTTCTGCCACCTTGGAGTATGTTTTGGTTCTTTTGAAAGAAAAACAGCCAAGTCTTGCATTGATGAAAGGGTATAATCTGTATAGGTAACTTTACAGAAAAATAGCCCGTAGATTCACCTTAAATACTAAAGCTTTAGAAATATAAAAGAAAAGGCCACACCTCAGCACATCATGTGGATTTTATTTCTCGGTCAGGAGAATAGAGAAAGCTTGATTAACTTCCAATGGATCAACTGATTGAGAAATTTCACACTTCTCTGAACTCATCAATGTGTGATAGATTTACCTGAAAATTGGATCAGAGAGTGAGTGCATTACAGCAAGTAAAATTGTCAAAACTATTTTTTTTTTTTTTTTTTTTTTTTAGTGATAATTACACAAGTATTTTTCTTTTTTAAATGAACATAGATCTGAGAATCTTCAGTCAAAAATTCAATTTTTGTCTCTGAGGTTGACCCTGATTCTGTGGTAATTTGTGTATTACACCAATACAGAACAATTTGTCTTCCTATCAGTAGAATTTATATTCCCCACCAAACTCAATTCACCCAGAAACTGGCAGTGATTGATATTATGCAATTGGATCTATAAAATTCCGGAAATGATGACATTTACCAATAGGTTCTCTGAATCTTCTCGTTAATACCTTCTTGTTAATGTTTGCTTTAATTGTCCTTTGGGCGTTTGGCTAAGATAGAAAATATTGGACATATTTATTGAGTGAAAAGATTCTCCATATATTCTTGATCCCACTATAATAGATAATTGTAGCAGAGATTGAAAAATTGTAGAAGGAGGGCACCTGTGATCAATCTCAGTTTTATGGTGTCAGTACTATGATGACAATAAAAGTAAATGATGTCGCAATGATTGCATCCTGTTAAACGGGTAGGTCAACCTGAAAGTTATTGTTGAAAGTAAAATTTGTCTTTGAACTGACAAGAAGTAAATCAATATATAAAGCTTCGTTTTTTTTTAACAAATTATATCTGTGTCATATTTTTAATGAATGTTTTTTATTCTTGGATTTGCAATATAAAAGGCATAGAATATTGTACGATGGATGGATTTCGAAATCATAAGGGCAGCATCTGTTCTTTTTCATTTGGATTTGTCCCCCCCCCCCCCAGGACCCCCCTCCTCCTTTTTTTTTGCATGAGATCCTTAGTGAATCTAAGAATATTTTTGACCATGCATGTAGGGTTTATAAGCTTCAGGTATACATGTATGAATTTGAGCCATCTTTTATGGTGGTAAAATTAAATAAAAGTGTTAAGTCCTTTCTGAACTCTTAATTGTAAATTAAGCTATATTGTATTTTGGAGGATTGCTCATTGTGGGTCATTCTTTACGAAAACTTGTATATTGTGCCTGCAGTATTGAGTGCTAAAATTGATATGATCAAGATGCTCACTCTTTTAGCACTCTTTCAACATCAAAAATTAAAAAGAGCCTTCTCTTCACATTTTGTGTAACAATTCATTAATTGTTTATCAAATTGTTGCTGTATTAGGTACATGAGTAATGCTGCCGACTTTTTATTAAGTCCAGAAGTTCATCTGGCTTTTAGTCTGAAGAAACGCAACGAACTTGGCCAGTGGAAGATCACTTTACAAAAAACATCTGTCCATCAGTGTTAATGCTGAAAATTACAAAAAACTCTCAAAGGTTGGAGTGTGTTTAGAATAATTGCTGTAAAATTATACCCTAAAGAACAAATTGTTTAACATGGTTTTTACATGTTCTTTCTTGACTGTCAAACTGTCTTGTGAAACAATCTGTCAAATTCCTGTAACACATTTCAAACAAGATGATTTAGGATTTTTTTCCCACACTTACTTGATTGGCAGAGATATGATGAAAATGGAATTCTGACATATGATTGGCTGGTATCAACTCTTTTCTAAGTTTCTAAGAGTTGTATTTAATAACTAAGAGTGGAAAAAAAAACCTTGCAATTGAACTTTGGACAGCAAATGCCAAAAGAGTCTTATGATATTGAAATTTAATTTTTAAAAGATTGAGCTTTGCTGATTCTATCACTTATGATATAACTTTTGAGTGACGTATCAATATTGAAGAATTTTCCCCTACCAGAATGAAGCAAAAGCAAAATGCTGATTTTTTTTCTGATAACATGATTTCCACTGTTTTAAATGTGGTGCTACGTGAAATATGACATGCCATTTTAATTTCTGTACTTGATAAACCTCCGTAAACGACGTATGCCTCATTGAGTACCTGGAACATTTAAGATTTGCAAAGAATGATCACTTATTATCATGGATGGGGGAAGGAAAATATTCAAAAAAAATTTCAATGGCTGCATGTATTTGTTGTTAAGCAAATTAAGAAAATCAAAACAAATTGTCTGTGTCTTTTTTGGTTTGTCGAATACTGAAGACATTAGTTGCTATTGCTGTCAACTGTAAATGAGTGGAAATAAATCTAACGATCTCTATCTATCACATTAGCTCTCACAGGCAATTGACCAGTAGTTGACAGGTAGGCTAGATTTTCTTGACTGCTCTCTATTTAAAATTGGTGATGAATTTTAATTCTAAGTCATGTGACTATTTCGGGGATAATTCCAGACCTGCTGAACTCATGTGCTTTTTCTAATGTAAAAGCAATAGGAGATTGCATGCAATTAATCTTTAAGAAATGTGAGAGGTAATGCATATTACATATGTTTGAATTATTTTGTCTACAATTAGGTGAAGGAAAGTGTGAAAATTTGCTTAGTATATGGAATAAAATTTGATCTCTTTGGTTTATTGAAAATAAAGGGATATATATCTCTAACAGCTTTTGGATTATTCCATTTTATTGGTACCAGTTCCTCTTTAAAAATGTATGTAGTGGCTGCAGTAACTTGAAATTTCAAATTCAATGTAAATAGGATATTTTATATAACATATGACCTTCTCTTTAAAAAGAGATGAAAACTTTTTCATTAATGCATGAATGAGTGAATGCTTAATTAAAAAAAAAATGAGCAATGTACCCTCCAAAGGTTTTATTCTATATCATAAACTTTCAAAAGGAAAATGGTAAATGGTAGGTAAAAATTCCCTTGTATGATGTACGTTGCAAAAGAGGTTGTTTAAATTTCTGATTGAAAAAGAAATGGATAAAGACTTCTGTGGTTATTGATTAAGAAAACTGAATTTCCGTGCAGTGGAAATAACATTGATAATTAAAGTAATGAGAGATGGAAATATATGGTAAAAAGGGAAATTTTCTGTTTCTGCTTAATTTTTTTTTTTGTCGGACGACTAATGCACAATGAGTTCACTATTGATTGTATGAGAAGATAAGGAAAATTACTATTGAAAAAGATGAGAAATCTTTAATTAAGTTCCCATTAAACAAGAATTGTCTTGATAATTTTAAACAAAAAAATTTTGAAATGGACACCTGAAGCATAGATCATTATATGAGTGATTTCCCTGTGACAAGTCTCTTTCATTGGAACATGCAAGAAAGACATTTGTAGCTAATGATTTCCTTATATGGACAAATGGTCGACTTGCTTTTCCTGAAAAAAAAAAGAAGAGACAATGCATCTCTATATATTTAGAAATGAGGCATCTTTATTATTGGTGTCTTTTTTTTTTAAATTAGTTCAACATTGAAATAGACAATATGCTCTACAATTTATATATTTCATACTACTTACCAAAATTGATTTTTTAATTATAAAAACTTAATTAGTAGCCACCCCCTCTCCTAATCCTAAAGAAGATTAAAAGACATCATTGATCATTATGATCATTCATGAATGAGATGTAAAGAAAATATGTTTTTCTGTTAACCCAGATTCCATAGGACACATTTTGATTCTGGAATGAACAAGTTGATCCCGAATAACTATGATACAAAGTTTAGTGCAAAGAAAAGGAAAAAAAAAAGAAGAAAAAAAATCATATCTTTTAGTTTTAAGGAATGGACAAGTAACATGTCAAGGGTGGAGTTTAAGACTTCCCAGCTGTGTATCCATATCCATAGAATCTAAAAGCCCCTGATAATTAAACCCCCTACCTTGTTTGCCATAAAATTTTTAGCATTTTTATTGAAAAAGTTCAGCTTTCATAATTATTTAAATGCATGCTTTTTTTCAATAGAGAAAAAAATGTGTCCGATATTAACAGATATTTTGTAAAACAAAGCAAAGATTTTTTTTTAAGTTTAAATTGGGGAAAATGGAAGTACTACTCCTGTTCCCTATCTGCCATATGGTTCTAGGTATGTAATATCAGATGCTGAAAAACCATGAACCGCTCGCACCAACTGAAATGGTGAGATGGACTAAAACAACTTTCTCTTATTTTTACAGAATTTGGCTTCTTTGAGTGCAATCATGCATGCAAATCATCTAAATATGCAAAATGGTGACAAAAAGATCTCATGTAAATTATGAATAATTTGTGAAACGAATGGGACATGGAAAGTGTTGCTGCTGATAATTCAGAACAATGGGTATTTTGGGTTTTGCTCAGTGCTAAGGTGACAGTCAGTCTGGTAGCGGTGCTTCACATCATTGTGCTGTAGGCATGGAACCCAAGTTTTCAGAATTTCTCAGACGTAATTTGGAGACTCAACTGATGCAAGAAAAATTCTTT